TTGTACCGGGGGGGTTGTGACTGGTAGGTCCCCCCTGGTCGGGGTGAATCTACTGGGGTAAGTCGGGGAACGTTTGGCGTGGATTGCACTCTAGTAGATGAGTGCTGTTCCCGCCGGGTGTCCTGATGCTCATCTGCTAACTTAGCGGCCTCTTGCAGCGTACGGGGTTTACGATCTCTTACCCAGATCTGTAGATCTTCTGACAAACATTGGTAGAATTGTTCCAGCACCATCAACTGCGTGATCTCTTGGGACGTGATGGCTTTTGCTGACTCTATCCACCCGGTGGCTGCCCGTTGTAGTCGGTGTGCGAATTCTGCATGCGAGTCTTTTCCCGGTTTGAGTAGTTTCCGGAACTGTATTCGGTATGCCTCAGGTGTAATGGCATACCGTGCGAGCAAGGTTTGTTTTACCTTCTGATAGTCCCGGATGTCCTCTGCCGGCATGGCTCGGTAGGCATCTGCGGCGCGGCCTGACAGGTTACCCGCTAGCAGGGGCACCTGGTCTTCGGTGCTAATAGCATGTAGCTGGCACAACCGTTCAAAGTCCTGTAAATAGCCATCAATGTCCCCCTCGGTATCATTAAATGCTTTAAATGCCTGATACGGTATTTTAGCTTTTGCTGGCGGGGTGGGGACAGCCGTTGCGATTCCTTCCCCCTCTTGTTGGTTCCTCGGTGTTGTTCGCAGCATGATGTATGCCTGTACATCATTGTAAATCTGGTCTGCCTTCTGCGCTGCTTTGTCTGGTGGGAATAGAGCCATCCTGCACCTATATTCCCTGGCAAACTCAGATTCCTCCTCCCTTGGAGGTGCTGCAGCAGCTGCGACTGTCTCCTTCCATGAGTTCTGCGATTAGGATAGCCTTTGTTTTGTTGCTTGCTATCCTCCCTCTCGCTTCTAGTAGCTCTCTTAGCGTGTCCCGTTTTAAGAGGGTATAATCCGTTTCCATTCAGTCCTTTTTAATTCCTGCTGACTCCTTTTTGCTGTGTAGTACGATCCCGTCGCTTGCCACCAATTGTAGCGGAGTAGAGGTATTATCCAAGGTAACTCCACTGGTAGACAGGAACAGCAATCCAAGACAGGTATAAAACAGGTAGCGTAGTTACAATCCCTTCCCTCCAAGAACTAGACGACACATAGCTTGGAGGTCAACTGCCAGGTTTATTCACACATTTGCTTTTATGTCCTTTTCCCATGCAAGGGAGGTAACTTAACATATCCAATCACATCGTGGTTACCTCCTCTCCCTCTCCTCCCCTTAGATTAACAGTTAAGCTCATTAGTGGGAACAGAGTTTTCCCCCATTTCTGGATGTCCCCTAAATACAGGGGGTACGGTGACAAATGAGGGGTCCCCTGGTTGGTCTGGTCTGGGTGAGCAACATACTCAAATTTCACCCAGATCAGACCAGGGGTTTGGGAGTTACAGACATTCAAAGATTTGACCGACCGCAGGGATTTGGTAGCCGAAAACAGCTCCATGGATTCTGGCCCTGCGGTCGGTCTATTACACTGAACTGAAAGTACCGAATGTTCAGCCATCCGGCTCTAATCTTAGGTTCGGATGAATCCCCTAGTCTGGGGAATTCATCCTACCGAACGGCGGGCCGTTCGGCAGTTTGAATCGGGCAGTTCCGGGGTCCTGGAGGTCTGAGCGGTGTCTGGGTAGTCGAGCGCCCGGTTTTAGTTCCAGGCGCTCGACGACCAGACACCGCTGTTCGGCAGTTAAGATGGCCGCCGCCACGTGGGTTTTGTGCGAACGGCGGCCACCCACGAACCCAATTACCTCTCTGGCAACATTGTTTCCCTCTATACAGGGGAAGCACACGACCACAGCAGGGTGGTCGTGCATTCGGCACTTTCCAGCGGTTCGCATACCAGGTATTCAGCGATTATTAGGACAAATACAACGCAATAATAATGCAGGTACAGTCTCTTGTGGCTGCTTCTGCCACACCCTCTAGTGGTCAGAAAATAAATCTTGAACATCCAGTTATAATTGTTTTGACAATCCTCCTACCTTTAATTTAAATTGTTGTCAGGACCAAAGTCCCATGATGTTAAGACATGGTCTACATAATTGATGATTTACAAATAGGGGGTATGGAAGCATTGGGAACCCTATTTTGTACAGAATGAAAGGAGTATATCTTCAGTGATTTAACAAGAATTTAAACGTTATGCCCTCTGGTGGCCTTTAATATCAATTACTTGGATAGAAGTGTCTTGAGGATCCCTGAGGGTCAGTCTCTACACAATCCATCAGGGTGCCTCCGCCAATTGCTGCTTCCTAGAAACACCGAGTACTCCTAAGCACTCCAGCAGAAACCATAACCACTGTAAATCTCACAGCCAGCATTACAACTTGGTGGGGGTCTCGCTGTCCTCCACCCAGCCTGGATCAAAGACCAGGATCTAGCTTCCAGTAGGTAGACCTCTCCCAATCCAGAGAGTAAAACAGGATGCTCTTACAAGAGCAAGTGTTGTAAACCAAGGAAGTATAGTGATATAGCTGTCCCCTCCACACATGAGATGAGGCTCTATGTTGAGGGTGAAGAGGAACTGTTTTATTGGTAGCCACAACTGGCCTTATATGCAAGTCCCTATGCAAGGGGTTTTTCATATTCATTCCCCACTGGACCTGAGAGGAGACTGTGACAAAGTACACGCTTTAATTACATTGGCTCTCAGGTCCAGGACACTACCACACAAAACAGGATAATCCCTCCCCTGTGCCTGAGAGATAATTGAGTCAGGAACTGTACTAAACTCAATTATCTCCAGGCACAGAAAACATACATTTTACAATATCCCGAATGTACCCCCCAAAACACATGCAAACCCCACAGAAGTCAAATCCCCTGATAGCTCCGATCTTGGGGACCAGCATATCCAAAAATCACCAAGATCAGTTCAGGCCTTCGGGATTTCCATGGAAGTCATAGTTTGACTGACCGCACACGAGACTCCTGCCCAAAATAGTTCCATGAAATTGGACTGTGCAGTAAGTCACATATACCGAACCAGACCAGGGAAAAGCCACGAACAAAGCCTTTCCATAGTCCTGAACCAAGGTCTAATACATGGGCCATTTCCTGGAGCAAGAGGCTGGCAAGCAGGTCCCTCCAAGAGCCTGTGGCGAGATTACTTTCACCACACAGGAGATAAAAACTTTTAAATTAAGTCACATCTGACTGAAACCATTATGTTTTCATGCAGGCTGTGGGAGTCACAACCAGGTGAGGTGTGGCTATGGCTTTATAAACATAAAGAAAAGTGATATAACTCCTAAATGGCAGATAGTTGAGCAGTGAGACTGCAGAGGTATGATATATACACCAAAACGACTTCTTGTTCTGGAGACTACAGTGTCCCTTAACGACACATGTGTGACATGCCATGATTCCCTTTTATTCCAGAAGTTTGGTCCTTAAGGGGTTAAAATCAGAGACCTTTGTTCTTAAAGGTTCACTTTTAGCAGCATAACTTCTCCAGTTTTCTTTAGTGGTTATGTTACCTACATTTTCCAAACCCGTTCTCGCAGTGAGGTAAAGACCTGACATAAACCAAGGAACATACAATCCCAAACCTCCCTATTATCCTATTATCAATGATTCCTATCCTGAGTAGTGATGCTTGGCTGTCATTGCAACTTAAATTATTTATATCAATTTAATTCAATACCCTCCCCCCCCTAGTGTTACATGTTCAATATGTGCTGACATCCTATCACCCTCATTGTAACTAAATCAAACAGTAAAGTATGATACAGGTTACAATAATCCAATGAAGACAAATACACCCCAATTCTAACAATAACTCCTGGAAACCGGAAATTATAAGCAGGCGCTCTTTGATGACGCAGGGTAGTCGGAGCCGCCATTTTTGTTGAGGCTACGGCAGCGTTCGGGGTTTTAGGATGTTCATGGGGTTCCTGTCTCAGCCCGTTACATACATACCTCTAAAAGAGACTCAGTGAACCTGAAACCGATGCTTGTATTTGTAGTCTAAATGGCTAAAACACAACTTCCTGTTTTACCGGAACCGGAAGTATCGCTGCTCGTTGAGGGTGCGGCCGCCATGATACTTGTGGGAACCAGTTGGTTTCCGTAAATCCTCTCGCAGACATAACAAAGGATGGACAACTACAGCGGTACTAGAGCGAACCGAGCTGCTGTCCTTTCAAACCCCTGTGTTGTTTTGAGATGTTTACTTCGCTGAGCCCACACACTGACATTAATGGGCACTCTGCCCAAAACAAACATGGCGGCTTAGGCTTCCATTTCCCCATGGCGGGTGCATTAGACGTAATGTCTGTGTATGTGTGGGGGTGTAATCATCAGGGGAGCAGGGAGAGGGTCTGCAGACAGACATGAGCACAGACCCCTCTGTGCCACCAGGGAGCTGGACATCCAGGGTAATGGAGTCACCTTCTCTGTTACAGGGCATAGTTATCCAATCAAGGCTGATGGGAAATAGATGGTCAGTTTAGTGTGGTTTTTATTAATTGCATTTTATGTAACTAAAATACAAGATAAACTTCTTCTTAAGAAGTGAGTCCAGGTATTGTACGCCAAGTGTACGCAAAGAGGTAGTGAGTGCAGTGCTGAGGATACCATGGGAGACAGAGAGCCAACCTTAATAGCGGTATAGGGGTTCATCGCTGTCTAAACTGGCCAGCAATTTACAGAGTATCCCAGCTAATACACTCCGTATATAACATACGCAAATTAAATATACAACTACCGGACATGCGCTATATAGATCATTTATGTGAAATTAAAGTAGTTTGCTAATACTTTGCGTACCATGAGCATGGCGCCCTGGAAAGGTACACATTCTAGGGCATTTGTTCGTTTAGGAATGGTGACACTAACCAGATTATGTTTTGTGTTTTTAATGATTTGCTTTTGAATACTTTTGCAGCTGTTGTATGACTTTTTTGAAGTTGGACAGAGATTAGAGCCTGTTAGTAAGTCATTTTACAGAACTGTTGAAGATGAGCTTCGACGGGAATAAAATGACTGAGAGGATCCTGGATCTAACACTGGAGATCATCTACCTGCTGACTGGAGAGGTGAGGGATTCTGGGTAATGTCAGTATGGAGATCATCTACCTGCTGACTGGGGAGGTGAGGGATTCTGGGTAATGTCACTATGGAGATCATCTACCTGCTGACTGGAGAGGTGAGGAATTCTGGGTAATGTCATTATGGAGATCATCTACCTGCTGACTGGAGAGGTGAGGGATTCTGGGTAATGTCATTATGGAGATCATCTACCTGCTGACTGGAGAGGTGAGGGATTCTGGGTAATGTCACCATGGAGATCATCTACCTGCTGACTGGAGAGGTGAGGGATTCTGGGTAATGTCATTATGGAGATCATCTACCTGCTGGCTGGAGAGGTGAGGGATTCTGGGTAATGTCATTATGGAGATCATCTACCTGCTGACTGGAGAGGTGAGGGATTCTGGGTAATGTCAGTATGGAGATCATCTACCTGCTGACTGGAGAGGTGAGGGATTCTGGGTAATGTCATGTTATGGAGATCATCTACCTGCTGACTGGAGAGGTGAGGGATTCTGGGTAATGTCATTATGGAGATCATCTACCTGCTGGCTGGAGAGGTGAGGGATTCTGGGTAATGTCATTATGGAGATCATCTACCTGCTGACTGGAGAGGTGAGGGATTCTGGGTAATGTCATTATGGAGATCATCTACCTGCTGGCTGGAGAGGTGAGGGATTCTGGGTAATGTCAGTATGGAGATCATCTACCTGCTGGCTGGAGAGGTGAGGGATTCTGGGTAATGTCAGTATGGAGATCATCTACCTGCTGGCTGGAGAGGTGAGGGATTCTGGGTAATGTCATTATGGAGATCATCTACCTGCTGGCTGGAGAGGTGAGGGATTCTGGGTAATGTCACTATGGAGATCATCTACCTGCTGACTGGAGAGGTGAGGGATTCTGGGTAATGTCAGTATGGAGATCATCTACCTGCTGGCTGGAGAGGTGAGGGATTCTGGGTAATGTCATTATGGAGATCATCTACCTGCTGGAGATCATCTACCTGCTGGCTGGAGAGGTGAGGGATTCTGGGTAATGTCACCATGGAGATCATCTACCTGCTGACTGGAGAGGTGAGGGATTCTGGGTAATGTCATTATGGAGATCATCTACCTGCTGACTGGAGAGGTGAGGGATTCTGGGTAATGTCAGTATGGAGATCATCTACCTGCTGCTGGAGAGGTGAGGGATTCTGGGTAATGTCATTATGGAGATCATCTACCTGCTGGCTGGAGAGGTGAGGGATTCTGGGTAATGTCATTATGGAGATCATCTACCTGCTGACTGGAGAGGTGAGGGATTCTGGGTAATGTCAGTATGGAGATCATCTACCTGCTGACTGGAGAAGTGAGGGATTCTGGGTAATGTCATTATGGAGATCATCTACCTGCTGGCTGGAGAGGTGAGGGATTCTGGGTAATGTCACCATGGAGATCATCTACCTGCTGACTGGAGAAGTGAGGGATTCTGGGTAATGTCAGTATGTAGATCATCTACCTGCTGACTGGAGAGGTGAGGGATTCTGGGTAATGTCATTATGGAGATCATCTACCTGCTGGCTGGAGAGGTGAGGGATTCTGGGTAATGTCACCATGGAGATCATCTACCTGCTGACTGGAGAGGTGAGGGATTCTGGGTAATGTCACCATGGAGATCATCTACCTGCTGACTGGAGAGGTGAGGGATTCTGGGTAATGTCACCATGGAGATCATCTACCTGCTGACTGGAGAGGTGAGGGATTCTGGGTAATGTCATTATGGAGATCATCTCCCTGCTGACTGGAGAGGTGAGGGATTCTGGGTAATGTCAGTATGGAGATTATCTACCTGCTGACTGGGGAGGTGAGGGATTCTGGGTAATGTCACCATGGAGATCATCTACCTGCTGACTGGAGAGGTGAGGGATTCTGGGTAATGTCACTATGGAGATCATCTACCTGCTGACTGGAGAGGTGAGGGATTCTGGGTAATGTCATTATGGAGATCAGCTACCTGCTGACTGGAGAGGTGAGGGATTCTGGGTAATGTCATTATGGAGATCATCTACCTGCTGACTGGAGAGGTGAGGGATTCTGGGTAATGCCAGTATGGAGATCATCTACCTGCTGACTGGAGAGGTGAGGGATTCTGGGTAATGTCACCATGGAATCATCTACCTGCTGGCTGCAGAGGTGAGGATTCTGAAGGAGGTGAGTGGGATTCACAGGGTAATTTCATAGGAGATCAAATACCTGCTGGCTGGAGGTGAGGGATTCTGGGTAATGTCATTATGGGATCATCTACCTGCTGGCTGGAGGTGAGGGATTTGGGTAATGTCATTATGGAGATCATCTACCTGCTGGCTGGAGAGGTGAGGGATTCTGGGTAATGTCAGTATGGAGATCATCTACCTGCTGACTGGAGGTGAGGGATTCTGGGTAATGTCATTATGGAGATCATCTACCTGCTGGCTGGAGAGGTGAGGGATTCTGAGTAATGTCACCATGGAGATCATCTACCTGCTGGCTGGAGAGGTGAGGGATTCTGGGTAATGTCATTATGGAGATCATCTACCTGCTGCTGGAGAGGTGAGGGATTCTGGGTAATGTCAGTATGGAGATCATCTACCTGCTGCTGGAGAGGTGAGGGATTCTGGGTAATGTCAGTATGGAGATCATCTACCTGCTGACTGGAGAGGTGAGGGATTCTGGGTAATGTCACAGTGACAGCTATATTGTCTTTAGTCTCTGTTACAAGTATAAACAGGGATTATAGAAACATAGAAACATAGAATGTGACGGCAGATAAGAACCATTCAGCCCATCTAGTCTGCCCAATTTTCTAAAAACTTTCATTAGTCCCTAGCCTTATCTTATAGTTAGGATAGCCTTATGCCTATCCCATGCATGCTTAAACTCCTTTACTGTGTTAACCTCTACCACTTCAGCTGGAAGGCTATTCCATGCATCCACTACCCTCTCAGTAAAGTAATACTTCCTGATATTATTTTTAAACCTTTGTCCCTCTAATTTAAGACTATGTCCTCTTGTTGTGGTAGTTTTTCTTCTTTTAAATATAGTCTCCTCCTTTACTGTGTTGATTCCCTTTATATATTTAAATGTTTCTATCATATTAGTGAAATTTTAGCTAGGGGTAGATTTAGTTAAATACTCAGGAGCTGAAATGGCTGTTTTTTTGTTGTTAGTACCAGCAAATGGTGCCGTCATGGTCAAGTGTAGACTTTTTTTTGAGAACTTAGAGCAATCATATTGAAATGTCTCTTAGTTATTGTTTTTGTGGGTTTTAATAAGTGATATTTACTTCGATTTGTAGGATTACATTGTTGCAAAAAGATCTGGTGAGCCTGTACTGCAGAACAGTCTTCATACTTCAGAAAGTGTCCGCAAAACTCCAAGCCCCAGCACAGTGCCTCCACCTCACTCACTGATACATGAGAGAAACAATGACCAGAAGATCCTGGAACTGACCAATCAGATCATCCAGCTGCTAACTGGAGAGGTGAGGTTGCCGGGAATGTGGGACATTATACAGTAAAACCAAGGGATGTGTCTGGATGGTGACTGTATCATTTTCTGTGTCAGGTTCCTATAAGATGTGAGGATGTCACTGTCTATTTCTCCATGGAGGAATGGGAGTATCTACAAGGACACAAGAATTTCTATAAGGACGTGATGAATGAAGCTCACCAGTTGATCAGTTCACTAGGTAAGAGGAGGTTTAATCATAACACGGCTCTGTCACCTCCATTCAAAATGAGTATTTCCATCTTTAGGATGGAGTTTGGATTCCACTGAAATTCCCGCACACTAAAAAGATACATGTTGACAAAAGAGGGACTACTTTGTTTTAGTATGTTTCCTACACTTTACAGAACTTGACTTACTAATCACTAGTAAGACATTGTTTATCGTAGACCTCAGTGTTGTAGTTTTGCACATGTGCAAGAGCACAACACTTACATTCAGGGACGTTATAGCCGCGAGGCGAACAAGGCATTTGCCTTGGGCGGCATTTTCCAGGGGGCGGCAAAAAAAACCGCCCCCAAATGCCCAGGACAATTGCCTTGTTAGCCTCACGGCTAACAGCTCCCTCGCACGCCGCCCGCAGAGTGGAGCCGGAATATGACGTCATCTTCCGGCTCCTAGGGCAGCACAAAACCAGGATACACCACTGCTTACATTGGCTCCTGGCAGATGAAATAACAGGAGCTGAATAGGACTAGCAAGAAGAACATGGCGACTGCCACAAGCAACATGTTCAGGTAAGTAAAACTCGCCTTCCCCTGCACCTCAAGGATACTGGACACTCATCTTGCAATGACCCCATATGGTGACAGAGCCACCTTAGAAGGTGCTAAAGCTGTTTTCCCTTCATATTATAGGCAGTGCTTTACAACTGGGATTTAATCATCTGGAGGGAAAAAACAGGCAGGCAATCTCCCAAACTTTTCAAGAGCCTCCCCCAATTAACCTTTGGCCTTATAAATTGCTTCCTACCCAAGATATCCCCAGTTCTTTGCCTGCCTCCGGCAGAGGAGAGTGTCCGGTTCAGGTTTTCTCCCTAGAAGTATGGTGAGAGGGCTAAGGTTCTGGAGGCTCTACTTCTTTTAAATACATTTTTCAGAGATCGGCCAGGGATAACACACCAGACGGCTGTATCTCACCAGGTTGTATTACTTCCGTCTATACCGAGCCAGGTGCTGGGCAGACGATGGTGCGCATTTGGGCACTAGCTGGGAAGTCCTGGCGGTGGAACACTCGTACAGGTTACGTTTATTTCCACCGTGGAATCGCGAAATGCAGGACATGTGGAATGCGATTTTAAAATTTAGGCGCCAATATCGTTATTGTTTTTTCTCTCCGGGGTCAAGATATTAGTTTCCAGGACTTAGACAGGCTGTTTACCCAGCAGCAACTAACTGTTGCCAGGTGCACTCAGAATCTGTTGCAAGTGTGTTCTCACCAACCTCCAACACACTCGGAGGACATTTAAGGTAAGCCTTTTTGCTTTATCTTAAATGACTCTAGTCTGAATAAGTTAATTATCTGTGCTGCAAGATGGATAAGCTAAAAAAGCGCAAATGATTCTAAGTTGGAGAGTTTTATGATTTAAAGATTATTCCTAAAATCTTAAAACAAATAGTTCTTTGAAAGTGTAAGCACTTAGTAGATCGGGCCCATAATAGATTCTTGGGTTTCTTCTTCTAAAAAATAGATTATTCTTTGAGTAAAGCCCATAGAGGGTATTAGATAAGAATATACTTTTACATAATTCTATTTGGTAAATTTAAGTTTCCTTTCTGGCTCAAAATAGCTGCTACACAGTAATTAGTTAATACGGGTTTCAATAATCACTAATTGCTGCAACAGGGTCAGTAAATTAAAGTGAAGTGTTCCGGTGGAATATATTCACAGGTAGCAAGACCCGGATGACTATTGGAGGATTATCCTCTGTATGTTATCCTTAGGAGGCTGATATTTAATATTTGGTTTTGGTTAAGTTAATATACTGTTGTAGCAGATGGATTCTTTAAATGCCAGGATCCTAGCCGCAGTGATTATTTTCTTAAAACATGCAGTAGGCTTTTAGCAATGGCTGTAGACCAAGCTCTTTTGCAATTAGCATTCTCACCACCTCAACTTGTTTCACCTGATATCAGTTTCTAAAAAGGCAGTCTCTTTTTCAGCTGGGGCAGAACTTTTCCTGTGCTTCACCCCATGGTGGCACATTTTATGTTTTTGTCTTAAATTCCAAGTCCTATGTTTCAGTTATAAAGACAGGATTGAGCTAACCGACTGTTGGAATGGAAATTTTAAAGAAAATGCTTCCTAATATTGGTTCCTGCAGAGTCTGCATCAAACAGGTTTTGAAATGCAGTTGCAGCTATTCTGTCTGCTCTAGCCTCTGCTTCCCAAATACGGCTAAGGAAAGCCTATAGCAGCTAAGGCTGTTGGTTGTTATTGCAATTTTAAAGGATTACTTCTAATATGGATTCCTGCAGAGTCTGCATTAAACTGGTTTTTGTAATGCAGTTTGCAGATATTCTTTCTGCTCTAGACTCTGCTTCCCAATTACGGCTAAGGAAGGCCTGGATCATGGGTATTGTCTTATGCAGACTGTGTATCTATGTAATCAGTCTCGATTCCGCCAATAAAGATGGTAACCTGTATGAACTAGTCTCCATGGAAAATTATTTCTTCCTCATGTTACTGGGCTTGACGCAAGTTCTAGTACAGCTGCAGGCCTATTGATCAAGGTGTAGTTCCACCAGGTTCAATTTGTACCCTGCACTGCCATAGATACTGTATGACAGTGATGGTTTACTGCCTAGGTTTGTTTGCCATTTTCTTTTAAGAAAGAGCTTATGGCAATTGCCACTCGAGATTCTCTCACTATGCAAAATGTTGCCATCCATAAATTTGTTGAATGTATGCAATACTGCTTCCTCAGGGGCACCTAATAACTTTTTTGTACACCAGCCCCTAAAAGTTAGGGTGTTTCTACAGCATACAGGTGGATTCTAATCTTCTGATAAAGAATTCCCTTTACAAGAAGTGTGCAGTTCTGGTGTTTGTCAAGGAACAGTTCAGGTGTAAAAACTTTGATTAGGTTTCCCTTTTACCTTCTCTTGAAGGGTTTTTGAATCTCAGAGAATGGTAATTCCCTGAAGAAAGAAAATGTGGTTCTCTCTCACTTCTTATCACCTGAAATCTCTCCTCTACTTCAGTAGACAAGATACTAGGGAAATAATAATTTGGTTCCCGTCTTGAAAGAACCTGCTTGGTCTCTTCAGCTTCTTTAGGCATAGCACTGTTTACAGGTCCTTCAGAGGCCAGATACAGTTGCTGATAAGATTTTGCAGTAAAATCCAATACTTCAGTCGTTCCTTTTTGAACCAGGCAGAAATGAAGGATGCCAGACGGTTCTTACTTTTTGTTCTAGTTCTCAAATCAATCGTTTCGAATTTTATGACCGATGCTTCAGGTCTCAGCTAGGTTCTCATAGGGTTGAAGGGAATTTAGCTGAGATATTTTGAAAAACTTATCCAACTACATAGGACTGAAGGCTATCTGGCTAGCTCTCTTTGCCTTTCAGATAAAGACTAGGTATTATCTTGTCCAGATCTGGTCGGATAGTTCTACATCGGTAGCAATTATGTACAAACAAGGTCATCTTGTTTGAAAAATCTTGTTCCAGGATATGCTTGGGTTAGTTTTTCTTAGGTCCAGTCACTTATGCATAGAACTTAATATTCCTCTGTTTAGCTGTAGCATTGAGTAGTCAACATTTAATACAAAGCAGATTGGTTCATACTCCCTGATCTTCACCCAAATGATAGGAAGAATTTGATTATCCAGTTATGGAAATGAGACTTCTAGATCAAACAGATAGCATAGAGTGTTTCATTGGACAAGCTTGGACAGACCAGTAAGCTTTGGTTTCCTTTTCTTTCTTGGGAATTCCAGTCAAACCTATAGTTTCCTCCTGGTTCCCTATTCCTCAAGATCATATAGGATGGAAAAGGTGAGAATGATAGTCTTCCTCCCTTGGTGGCGAGTAGCTGTTTCACCGTTCATCAAAAATTATCTGGAGGAATCTTTGGGGACCTTACCTGTAAATAGGCATCCTGAAATTATCCATGGTACCTCTTCTCAACTTTGTAGTAATTCAAGCTGACGACCTGGTTTATTTATACCAGATACTGAAGGATAATGTTTTGTCTCAGGAAATTTATTGACAATTTCTTTTATTATAAATGGATCTTGTTCCTAGATTTATTCCAAGTATGGAAGGTGTTGTTTTTTAAGATTGGTTCAAAGAAAAGCAGGCATCCGCTTCCAAGTTTTTAACCTCCCTTTTTTTTTTTTTTTTGGATGGGCTTTGCGGACGGTTTAAAGCCAGAGATCCTCAAGGTCAAATTTCGGTTATCAGTTGATTTCAGAGGTTTGTCTCAAAATCACCAGTATCTACTAGGCTCTTTTGTGGTTAGTTCCTATCTTCAGGGAATCTTTACCCCAGGGGATCTTCTTTTGGGGGTTTTAGCTCTGCTGATTTGAGTCTTCACTCTAGGTCTTTGGGGGTAGTCGCCCAAAATATTTTTGGGAAGAACTTCAAGTTCTTCAAGTTTCCAATTTCAGCAGGAGAAAGTGGGGTTAAGTTGGATTCTTTAATTCTTCCCAATCTTCCATCTATCATTATTTTTCTAACTTTTCCCAACAGCGTTCTAGGGTCTTGGAATTCTAATTCCACTGCCTGGGCGTTTAGTTCTCGTCTACGATACCTTAAAGGTCTGCATTCGTTTTAGTTTTTTTTCTCATCTAACACCTATCTCCATTGAAGCTCCTTCGATCAGTTATGTTCAGATCGGGTGCCCTGAGGGCTTCTGCTATACATTCTCTCGAATTCCTAACAGACACGAGGTGATCTCACTCATTTGCTAAACTTTTCAAATTGGTCTGTTGACCTTGGAAGATACAACTTTGGTTGTAGGTTTTTTGCAGTGAGAATTGAGTCCCGCCCTAAGGGATTGCTTTTGGATATCCTAGTTGTAAACCCCCCCCATCCCCCTAAAAAAAATTTAATAGTCTGAGTGGTATGGGTATTCGGCTTTTGTAATTTCTGGGGATGTCTTGGGTAGGAAGCAATTTATAAGGCCAAAGGTTAATTGGGGGAGGTTCTTCAAAAGTTTGGGAGATTGTCTGCCTGTTTTTTTCCCTCCAGGTGATGAAATCCCAGTTGTAAAGCACTGCCTCTTATCTTCTGGAAAAATAAATTTACGGTAAGTAAAAAAAAAAAGTTTTTATTTTTTTTATTTAACAGGATGTTTTTTTTTTTTTTCTTATTTGATAGGTGGATCTGTGGACAGATCTACAGATGCTGGATATCAAAGCCCCCTTACTGTTGCAAATTGTCTACAAGAAGAGAACATGAGAAGTAGCCTCACCAGAAAATATCCCAGAATAGATGATCCATGGGAGGTACAATGGAAATCTGGTAAATGTGAAAAGGATGAATCAACCTTCACTAAAGTTAATCTCTCTGACCTGTGTATACCTGTAGAACAGTCACCTCCACAAATTACAGAAGAATGCGCCCTGTCTGTAGAAGAACATTTCCCAGACACTAATATTTTTACCACCCCAGACCACACACAGGCAGAATATACAGTTACATATATCAAAGAGGAATATATATCTGATGAAGGTGATTTCTCAGACACGGATATTTATACACTCACCAGATATGCACAGTCAGACTATACAGCTCCTCATGGTGCGGAGAAACTGTCCGAATGCGAAGAAGGAAATTTCACTGACATGAACCGTTATATACCCCCTGAAAATAGACAGGGAGAACAAGCATCTCCTCTATTGTCTTTTGCAAACTGGCAGTTGCCTGAGTCGAACTGTGATTTTTTTCCTTCATCATCAGCTTGTTCTGCACAGGAGAAATATTTTATGACTTCAGCAGATCTTAATGAGCATCAAATGAATAACACGGGTGACAAACCATATTCTTGTCGTGTTTGTGGAAACGTGTTCACACGTAGATCAAATCTTCTTGCACATCGAAAGATACACATAGGGGACAAACCATTTGCTTGTCCTGAATGTGGAAAATGTTTTTCAGTACACTCAAAGCTGCATACACACCTGAAGATTCATTCGGGAGTAAAGCCTTTTTCCTGCTCCGAATGTGGAAAAAGTTTTATTTTTAAGTCCAACCTCACCGAACATCAGAGGATTCATAAAAAAGAGAATGCGTTTTCTTGTTCTGATTGTGGGAAATGCTTTACCTTTAAGTCAAATCTTACTAGACATCAGAGACTTCATGCGGGAGAGAAGCTGTATTCCTGCACAGAATGTGGTAAAGGTTTCAATCGTCCTTCGTGTCTTGTGACACATAGAATGACCCACACAGGAGAGAAGCCATTTTCTTGTTCTGAATGTGAAAAACGATTTAGAACTCATTCATGTCTTATTAAACACCAAAGGATACATATAGGAAAAAATCTGTATTCTTGAGCCGAATGTTAACATTCATTGTATTAAATATGTCTATTTGCCTTCTCCTCCCCTCTTCAAATATACATGTTGGTATGTATATCTGACTTGTAATATTCAGTGATGCTTAAGGGATAATTTGCAAAAAATTTTCTCTTCATACAGGGACAATTGATTGAAAAAAACATAAATTGGGACTTTTAGTTTGTGTAAGGAAACTTACCTTAGTTGATGCTCCTGCGTCAGTTCATTCACAGTTCCTGCCAGCATTTTTGACCATAGACACTGTAGACTCGCTACTTTTAATAACATAATTGTTACACCCACTCACATGGGGAGGGGGAGTGGTGCTATAAAATAAACATCCAGCCATTTATAATGCCAAATTAAAGTGTGTGTATATAGCCATAACAGAGCTGTGATTCGCTATTAGTGATTGCATGACTTTGGAACTTCATCATACTTCTCACAGGTAGATCCTTTAAGTGTCTCCAATGCGCAGCAGCAGTTAACACACTGGATGTGAGCGCTGCTGTGGCACACCCTGGATCCTGACCAGCCGTGTGGGAATACTTTCTCTAATATTAATGCTGGCAGAGGAGAGGTGTGGCTAGGCCTTGATAAATAAAGTGATTTAAATCCTAAATGTCAGAAGATTGAGCAGTGGGACAGCATGGGGCGGGATGAACACAAAAAAAAAGAACTATTAAGCTAAAGTTGTTTTGGTACTTAGAGTATCTCTTTAATATACAAATGACAAGAAAAGAAAATAGGGGTGTAAGCACAGCTCTTGAGCTCAGAAACCAAATGAAAGAATGAAATGTATGCTCACTATTCAATTCTTATTTTATTTTTTTTGTCCTGTGAAAAGTGCTTTGTATGTGGGCAGTTGGCCTACCCTATAACGAGAGATGACTTTATAGAATAGCCGTGTTCTCTTTGTATCTCCTCCCTCCTACTTTCCAATGATTGTAAAAGTGACATGTATTATTTTTCTTTATTCCCCTTATATTTTAACAATTGTACCCCCTTGCCTTTAATTATATTCATGGAATTGTATTCCTTGTGCCAGATCTCAATACCTGGGTGCTGCCATTTTTTTCTCTTCTGTCCACGCTGTCTGCAATTCGCCGTATTGTGGGATTCCGTTGGCTGATGGATTGTGAGTAGGAAATCCGACCTCTACCTTTAGCATATGATAGGATCATTTAGCCAAATACATGCACCTTGGGGCAGACAGTGTTAAAAAACCAGCAGTTAGTGTTTGTGGGCTTCTCTGCTTCAAACAATGCTAAACCCAAGGTGTATGTATAGGGCCGATTGATCCTGCCATATACTAAAGCTAGGGAGGACTTTATTTCTCTGTTTTACATATACTACTTAAAAAAAAATCTGTTTCCTTTTCAAAACTTGATGAAAGGATTATTATATTAAAAAAGTATTCAGGTGACTTATTGCCAAAGATCACACATACCAAAAAAGTATTCCCTTCTTTAGTGTATGTATAACGAAAACGCTAACATGCATTTAAAAAGATAAAAAATAAATAAATAACAAAGGAAAGTAGAGGAGCACAAAGTCTTAATTTAAAAGCAAAACATGCAAAGTGACAGGTCTGCTTTGAAGATGCGAATTTCAAGGTTTGGAGGTAACTGCCAAAAATGAAGATGTTGAGCTCTAAGTAGTGGGAAACCATTCGGCAAGGTCATCTATTTAATTTAATCATTTTAAAAGTTTCTCCAAAAATAGTAAATGATTTGGAAAGCCTATCCAACAATATTGAATCAATGCCTAAGTTGGGACTTATTTGTCTAATGCACAGTGTTGAGGCTGAAAACAAGGAGCAGTTTTAGCTGTCTCTTTATTTCCTAGTAGCCTTCTCTAGTAATGGCTGTGGGAAATTGATTTTTTTGTAAGAAGTTCTCTGGAGAATTTTGTGTGAACTTCCATATACCTCTGTTTGTGCAAGGGTACAGCAATAACACAAGCTTGTGGAAGATGAAGTACCAGGAGCTTAAGATGGACATGAAGAAGACCATGACAAAACTTAAGAATTCCTAGTAGAGTCACTTTAAAAAAAAAATATTCTAATTAATGAGCACAAAATTAGCTTTGTGCTTTCAAATTTATAGACCGCAATTTAACTTGGTTATTGACCTGGTCAGCTCTTGACTGCAAGGGTCCTTTGGAAACCTGGGTGTGCGTCACTTGAAGGTCAAGCCGAAGCAAGATAGCGCTGTCAAGAAGGCAGACCCAACAGGACTGGCGCAAAGTTGGAAAAGGTAAGTTGCACTATTGCCTGGGCTTTGTTAGTGACAGAGTGAAAGTATTGGTTTTGTTTTGGGAACAAAAGTAACTAGGAGATAAATCTCCCAATCATTTTGCACTTTTGCACAGCCCTTCTTGGATCCAATTGAGCATCAGTAGTAAGCAGGGGCGGGCTGGGAAGGGGGGCAGGGAGGCAAATGACCCCCAGGCCGCCTGCATCCAGAAAAAAAAGAAACTCTGAATCCCCTGCCTCTGGCTGGGGACACGGATTTTTGAACTTACCTCACTCTCTCCCTGCCGTCAGTGAAGTCGGCCTCTCCTGATGCTGTCAGGAGGAGAAGGTGCGACTTCCACTGCTCTTCTAGGATCACTGGGGAGTCTGGAAGAAGAGCAGAGGAAGTCTTGCCCCCTCCTCCTGACATCATCAAGAGAGTCCGACTTCACTGGCTGGTGCTCCTGCCCACCCCTCACTGGTAAGACTCAGGGAGGGGGGGAAACACTTTAGGTTTTTTTTATCCCCCTCCTCAGCATCTGCTCCATTTGCTCACCCCTGCCCCCCTTTCTCAGCCCCATTCTCCCCACCACAGCCCCACTGCAGCTCCTCTCCCCCAATTGCAGCACATATCACCCACATCACAGACCCTTTCCCAAATTGTAACCATCAACCTATTTCAGTCCCTATCCCCCCACTACATTTCCTAACCCCCCAGTTACAGCTCATACCTTCCACCACAGCCCTGTCTCCCCTCCCCCACTACAGTCCCTAGCCCCGTACTACAGCCCTGTCCCCTTACTCAGCCCCTGCCTACTGGCTTTAATGGTGTAAAGTTTGTGGGTGTGTATGTCTGTCTATGTGTGTGCCAGTATGTCTGTCAGTGAGTGTGTGCATGTGCCTGTCAGTGAGCGTGTGTGTCAAATCAGCAAGTGTGTGCACCTGTCAGTGATTGTGTCTGTTTAGGTGACTGCCCCCCTTTCAATCACATGGGAAAGGTGTTTTTAATATCCTCTTGGTGCAATGGGCCACTTGACTGGATTTGCCCCCCAGGCCTAAGGCTGCCAGCTCTCCCCTGGTAGTAAGAATAGGTAGTCATGATTTAACACTATCACAAACCTTATCCTATAAGTTGCCAATAATTCTTTTTTCAGAATTTTGTTTCTCCTTATTTTTAAGCAATTTTTTTTCTAGGGGTATTACCAACAATATATTTAGCATTTGACACATCTGTTGGATACCATCAGTAGGCACACTTACTTAACGCGAATTAAAGGAACATTCCCAGTCTGCTGTAGTGGTTATGGTACCAGGAGTGCCCTGGTTCCTCTTCATTGTAAGGAGTGAAGGATTTTTTAACCCCTTAAGGACCAATCTTCTGGAATAAAAGGGAATCATGACATGTCATACATGTCATGTGTCCTTAAGGGGTTAAACAGATTTACGTCTTAGCTGGGGTCCTTCGGGAGCTGCTCGCTGCCCCACTGTCAATGCCGCAGAACTGGCCGTTCATTACAGGTAATGGCTGGACACATTTCACGCCAACACTAAGGGCTGAGGGGCCCCTGTTGTTTGGGGCTGCCGTTTGTCGTCGTTGTCGTCCCCCTTTGTGCGCGGTGTGTATAGTTTTTATTTTAGAATTACAATAAATGAGGATAATATTATGGACGTTGTAACCTCCACCAGAAACCTGGAAAGCACTGAATGGGTCAAATCCATTAAAATAGGCATTAAACAAAGCTGGACCTTCACTCCATTGAATTAATAATAATAATAATAATAATAATAATAATCTCATTATCCACCAAGATCTCACACTGCCCAGCCCCTTGCCACCACAAACATGGCGGACTCTGCCTCCTTACCCGGCGACACTAGCAGGCCCCACCCCCCTGCATACAGAGTGCCTCGCCAGTCACGTGGACTCTCACACCCTCCCTGCCGCAATGCTCCTTAACACCATCCTAGACAGAGCAGCGAGTGCCTCCAATATGGCGGAGCGGCCCTGCCGTGAGGTCACCGGAACCGGAAGTAGCTGGGGCTGCGCGTGCGCTGTCACTCAACCCTCCCATGGCTGCAAATATCGGATCCTGAGCGCAGCCCGGTCCGAGTCACAGAGCCCGGCGGCAACACGGTAATTAATATTATAATATATAATGATTAATATAATGTAATAATATAATAACACGGTAATTAATATTATAATAAAATAATATATAATGTATAGTATAATAATATATAATGTATAGTATAATAATATATAATATATAATGTAATAACACGGTAATATATAATATATAGTATAATAATATATAATGTATAGTATAATAATATATAATATATAATGTAATAACACGGTAATATATAATATATAGTATAATAATATATAATGTAATAACACGGTAATATCACGGTATTAATATAATGTAATAGAATATATAATATAATGTAATATATAATGTATAATATAATAACACGGTAATTAATATTATTATATAATATATAGTGTATAATATAATATAATGATTAATATAATATATAATGTAATAATATAATAACACGGTAATTAATATAATAGATAATGTAATATAATAATAATAATATATAATATAATAACACGGTAATTAATAATATAATATATATAATATATAGTGTAATATAATATATAATGATTAATATAATAATAATATAATATATAATATAGTGTAATATAATGTATAATGATTAATATAATAATATATAATAACACGGTAATTAATATAATATATATATAATATATAATGTATAGTATAATGTAATAATATAATATCACGGTATTAATAATATGTATATAATATAATGATATATAATGTAATAACACGGTATTAATAATATATATAGTGTATAATGTAATGTAATAACACGGTATTAATAATATATAGTGTATAATGTAATATAATAACACGGTATTAATAATATTTAATAGAATATAATATATAATGTAATATAAAGTATAATATAATGTAATATAATGATATAATATCACGGTATTAATATATATAGTGTATAATGTAATATAATAATGTAATAACACGGTATTAATAATATTATATAATGTAATATCATATAATATAATAACACGGTATTAATAATATATAGTGTATAATATATAATATAATGTAATATATAATGTATAATATAATATAATAACACGGTATTAATAATATAATATAATAATATATAATGTATAATATAATAACACTGTATTAATATAATGTATAGTGTATAATGTAATATAATAACACGGTATTAATAATATATATAGTAATAACACGGTATTAATAATATGTATATAATAGTGTATAATGTAATATAATAATATCACGGTATTAATATTATATAATGTAATATCATATAATAATATATAATGTACTAACACGGTATTAATATTATATATAGTGTATAATGTAATATATAGTATAATTTAATGATATATAATGTAATAACACGGTATTAATATAATGTAATGTAATATATAATGTAATATCACGGTATTAATATATATAGTGTATAATGTAATATATAATATGGTATTAATAATATCATATAATATATAATGTAATATAATGATTAATATAATGTAATGTAATATAATATATAATGTATAGTATAATATATAATATAATGATATATAATGTATAGTATAATATAATGTAATAACACGGTATTAATATTATATAATATAATATATGATGTATAATTAATATCACGGTATTAATATATAATATATAATATAATGTAATATAATATACTGACTGACTGATAAATATAAAATATAATGTAATATATATATATATACTGACTGATAAATATAATATAAATGTAACTTAGTTATTTAAAGGAATAAATGCTAATGTCATATATTTAGTTACTGTCTGGAGTTTCTACATGCTGCTACCAATTCTGTTTTTCTAATTTTCACATGACTGATTGGGTTAATAATCCTTACATTCTGCTTTTCCTGAGGATAATTGCCCTGAAGGTGGAATTAATAGTATACTTACTAAGGTTAAAGGGACACTCCAGTGCCAGGAAAACACCCCCCATCCCAGATTGCTGAAGGGGTTAAAACCCCTTCAGTGACATACCTGCATCCAGCGTCGATGTCCCTCGGTGCTGGTTCAGGGTCTGCCCACGCTGCTCTCCCACCGACGTCATCTGGCGGTGGAGACCGATTGGGAATGTGTGGCTGCCGGCGGGGTGAGACCTAATGCGCATGCGCGCCAGACCTCCCCATAGGAAAGCATTTTCAATGCTTTCCTATGCGGATTTTAGCGACGCTGGAGGTCCTGGAAGTGTCCTCTAGTGGCTGTCTAGTAGACAGCCACTAGAGGAGGAGTTAACCCTGCAAGGTAATTATTGCAGTTTATGAAAACTGCAATAATTACAGTTGCAGGGTTAAGGGTAGTGAGAGTTGGCACCCAGACTACTCCAATGGGCAGAAGTGGTCTGGGTGCCTGGAGTGTCCTTTTTAAGTGATTTAAGGGCGTGACCAGTGCCAGAAAAGCTGACCAGTGCCAAAAAAGAAAGAAAAAGAGAATTTTTTTTTTTTTTTTATTTGGAAACTGGATGTTTCACTAATACTGATCCAGAGAGATACCTGTGGATAGTGGCTATTGAATTAACTGAAGATTTCGTCTAAGGCAAAGGAAAGGTTTTTTTACTGTAAGAACAATCAGGATGTGGAATTCTCTGCCTGAGGAAGTGGTTTTATCAGAGTCCATACAGATGTTCAAATGGCTACTAGATGCATACTTGCAAGAACAGAATATTCAAGGATATAATCTTTCAATGTAGGGTAATAACTGCTTGATCCAAGGATAAATCTGACTGCCATTCTGGGGTCAAGAAGGAATTTTTTTCCTAGCTTGTTGCAAAATTGTGCTTCAAACTGGGGTTTTTTGCCTTCTTTTGGATCAACAGCAAATAACAAATGTGAGGTAGGCTGAACTTGATGGACGCAAGTCTCTTTTCAGCTATGTAACTATGTAACTACTATGTAACTATGAAATAGATGGCAAAAGTGAAGGAGGACTGTGTAAAGGGGAAGGAAGACGAAATCTATAAAACACATTGCAGTGGAACGCAAGTACAAACGATATATACATGTGCAATAGTGAATTAAAGGACCACTATAGTGCCAGGAAAACACTATAGTCCCCCTCCCGCCCGGCTCTGGAAGGGGGAAAGGGGTTTAAACTTACCTTTTTCCATCGCTGGACGGAGAGCTCTCCTCCTCCGATCCTCCTCTTCTCCTCCCCGTCGGCTGAATGCGCACGCGCGGCAAGAGCTGCACGCGCATTCAGCCGGTCACATAGGAAAGCATTTACAATGCTTTCCTATGGACGCTGGCGTGCTCTCACTGTGAAAATCACAGTGAGAAGCACACAATCGCCTCTAGTGGCTGTCAATGAGACAGCCGCTAGAGGGAATGGGAAAAGGCTTAACCCATTAATAAACATAGCAGTTTCTCTGAAACTGCTATGTTTATGAAAAAATGGGTTAACCCTAGCTGGACCAGGCACCCAGACCACTTCATTAAGCTGAAGTGGTCTGGGTGCCTAGAGTGGTCCTTTATGGAACAATTTTCACTCTTTGCTGTCTGTAAAGCGGATAAACTGCTATATGGGACTGTGGGAATATATTAATTGGAAAAACAGCATGGCAATGGAATGCAAGTACTAATGATATATAAAGGCAATAATGAATTATTTATAATCTTCATTTGCTGCTGGTACTTGAAAGTTTGAAAGCTTATTATGCTGTTGTGAATAGAATCCTTGTTGAATTACTGCAATTGGAATTTATAATCCCATTTAAAGGGGAAAATAAATGCTACTGCCATATATCTTGCTGCTATCTGGATTTCTTATATGCTGCTATCATTTTTTCAATTTTCACATGCTGATTGGCTTTCTAAGCCTTACATCTTATTTTTCCCGAGGATAAATGCCCTGAAGGTGGAATTAATAGTTTATCTATCAAGCTTAAGTGGTTAAGGGCTTGACCTTTTTAAAAAAAAAAAAAAAAAAGTTGGGACTTATGATACTATTTATAAAATTTGCATTTTATTAAACTGCCTCAGAGAGTTATCTGCGGATAGTGGCTATTAGGCCAGAGTTGTTGGATATCAAAATTAAGAGGAAAAGGAAAGGGGAAACCTTGTTGTGTGTGTTGTTTTCTCCCTCCTCCCCACCTCTTGTCCCCCCCCTCCCCTCTTGTCCCCCCTCCCCTCTTGTCCCCCTCCCTCTTGTCCCCCCTCCCCTCTTGTCCCTCCTCCCCTCTTGTTCCCCAACGAGGATAAGGCTCAGCCTTTAGCACAGAAAAACAAGGAGAAAGAATGTATTGAAAGCTCCTTTAAGGATTCACAATTGATTGGGAAAGAATATTTAAATGCATGTCTGCAAACGCAATTAGAAAATATAAAGAAGGAAATGCACCTAATGATTGATGATTTTAAGAAAGAAGATGATGATGCTCAGGGAGGTCCTGTGAAAGCTTCTGCAGTAGGGGGAACCAAGGGCACCTGGGCCAATAAAAGGAATAACTGCCAGAATGGTGACTCGCTCATCAACAGAGGAAAAATAAGAGGAGTTGGAGGAAACTCATATCCCAGCTGGAATTTCCACGCACAAAAAAAGAGCATCCTGGTCCTCCGCCAAAGGGTCGAAGTAACGTGAGAAGACCCTTTCCACTTTGCGATTTCTGGCAGTTGCCATCAGGTGTAATTGAGGAAGGCCTCACTTCTGGACTATGCATTTGAATGCAAGAGGAAATAGGGCCCATTCTGTTGGATCCTCTGCTTAAGTAGTCTGCTGTTGATTGTTCTTGCCCGGAAAGTAAATTGCTGTGATTCCAAGAACAAAAATCGATCTAAAATAAATAAAAGGAGCACAAAGAGAGGAGTGAAAAAAAGGATACTAAAACAGAAAAGAGACTTTCAAATTATTTTGCACCTCAAATGGATAAATCTTCGACAGAAATGCCTATAAAGGAAATCAGTTCCATACATGGGGAGAAAAAAGCAGGTCATATAGAAACATCACAACTAGAAAATCCACAAGTTACGCCAGAGCTCCTAAAATATTGTTTAGACCAGCAATTTCAAGCAATAAAACTAGAAATTTTCAATAATAATGCGGATCTTAAAAGGGACATCAAAGAGATTGGCCAAATGATTAAGTTAGTTGAAGAAAAATTAGATCACACAGATCTCATAATTAAAAATCAACAAGAACAAGAAAAACTACAACAGAAGATACAAGATCTAGAAAGGAAAATAAATACACTAGAAGACAGATCAAGGCAAAACAATTTGAGATTAAGGAATATACCAGAAAATATTACCCAAGACAAACTTAAGGACTTTTTAAAATCTTATTTTTCAGAGTTGGGTATCGAGATAGACGAGAAATACAAATTTCTAGAAAGATGCCACAGAATCCCCAAACCAACTAATCTGAATATGGAAACACCAAGAGATGTTCTGATATGCTGTAATTCCTACATATTTAAGGAAGAATTGAGAAAGGCATCAAAGCAAGGAAGTAAGAAAGAGGAGTACCTGAATATCAAGGTTTTCCCAGATCTATCTTATGAAACAAGGAAGAAAAGACGGATATTCGCTCCAGTGACTGAGATTGTAAGAGAATAATGTTAAGTATTTTTGGGGTTTCCCAGCGAGACTTCTAATAATTCATGAAGCTAAAACTTTATCTTTTGATAATCTTGACTCTGCTAAGAGTTGGCTACGAGGGGTCTATAAATAATAAGGGTCATCAAGGGAGGAGAGGTTAATAGGTTACACCAATAAGTGAATGTTGTTAACGGGGAGAATTTTTTTTTTTTTTTCTTCAAAATATATAAAATTTTGTAATAATAGGAAATATGCACATATAAGTTTTCTAAGATAACAAAAAGGGGGAAAATTCCTTATTATAATATAAGAAGTTCACAAAAGATGAAGTAGGCACAAATTAAGATTGTTTGGGAATAAGTATATCTCTAGACTCCTGTTTAACTATCAAATAAAGATATAGCATAAATATTTGAAACACTTACACTATAAAATTAGATTATTTTTTTTTTCTCCAAAGAAATATGAAATATTAACAAGTGTGGTCACAGGGATTGATTTATCTCTGATTTATAAAAATTATATAAAATTTTGTAATATGTAAATGCACATAAAAGAGAACACAAAAATAAGTTTACCAAAATAACAAAAAGGGGGAAAATTCCTTATTATAGTATAAGAAGTTCACAAAAGATGAAGTAGGCACAAATTAAGACTGGGAATAAGTATATCTCTAGACACATGTTTAACTATAAGATATAGCACAAGTATTTAAAATGTGTACACTATAAAATATATATATATATGAGATAACTGTATGTAATTAAGGTGGAATTGGCGTAAGAAATAGAAAATAGAAAGGTTAAAGGTATGATCTACCTCGTGTATTAAAATATGGTTACTCACTCCCAGGTTTCTTTATAGACCACTGTAGTTGAAGGCAGATATTGCTAATCCACAAGTTTTATTTGGCTGGTTGTTACCCCCAAATAACTCCATATTATTCTGGAGTTTGGTTCACATACCCTGGGTTTTGGGGTGTGTTTTTTGATCTTCACTCATGGGGAGTGGAGATGGATTTTTTTATTGGTGTGGTGGAATGCCTCATGTTTATTTTACATGAAGCTATATGTATGTAATTGTTGTATATGTTATGTGTATATATATATATATTTTTTTTATTTTAGTTATTTTTTGTATAATAGTGCTGAGCGAGAAAATCACGAGGTAAATGATGATGATACCCTATGGTTAAAATCATGACACTAAAACCATGGTATTTCAATACATTAAAAAGGAGGGAGCGAAAATCATATTACAAGAGACTCATTGGCTAAAGCAAGATATAAATCGCTTCATCCCAAAAGAACTTTAATATTATATATTTGTTCTTCATTAGAGGGAAAAAAAAGAAATGTGGGGTCACCTTTCTAGTTACAAATGATTTAGATATTCAAGTTACTTATCAAGATATAGCTAAAGATGGAAGGTATGTTGTAATAATATGTAAAATTCAAAATGAAGAATTTACTATCGCCAATATTTATGAACCAAATGTCAATCCCGCCTCCTTTATACAAAAAGTGCTGATTAAATTAGATAAAATTAAAAAAGCAAGGTGATTATAGGGGGAGATTTCAATTGCATTATAGATGGAATGTTAGATAGAAACTCATTAGCAGGGGTTATCCAAGATAAAAATGGTAAGAAAATGTCAAATCAATTATCATGTTTAATTCATAAATATGGATTACTGGATCTATTGAGGATTAATCACCCCCTAGAAAAAGATTATACCTGCTTTTTCTAAAGCCCATTGCACATATTCCAGATTAGATTTGTTTTTAGGGTCTGTAGAGATCTCATACAGGATAAAGAAGGTTCTTATTCAGGAAGTTACCTGGTCAGACCATAATCCCCTTATATTAGATTTTGCTATAATTTCAGATAAAATAAGGAATAATTGGAGATTAAATGAACGCTCAAGAACGCTCAAGATATTGAAAGCATAAAAGATTTAACTAATTGCTTTTTTGAAGATAAAAACAAAGGTACTTCAGATGCAGTAGTTTGGTGTACATACAAGGCAGTTTTGAGAGGACGTCTTATTACAATGGGCTCAATTAAAAAAAAATAAAAAAAAAATATGGCAGCCCCGCTGTTAGAATTATATATTTCTCTTTATGATTTAACAAAATCTAACAAAATCCCTCTATACAATTAAGTGAAAAAAATAACAAAGAATAAAATTAATGAAATATTATTATTTCAACAAACATCAAAAAAATTGGAATACTTAAAAATAAAATGGCATTATAGAGGCAATAGGGCAAATAAATCGCTTACAAAGTTAAAGATAAAAAAATGAATATGCTAATACAAAAAAATTATTACTGAGGAAGGGTTACAATTAACTCCAGAAAAATTAGTTAAAGCATTCAATACCTTTTATCAACATTTATATAACTTGCCCAATCAAGCAAATAACCCAGAAATATATTTTCTAAATAAAAGGTTGAATAAACATTCCCTTGAACAACTGAAACTTATTAATGGTCCTTTCTCGGAAATAGAGATCAGGAAGGCAATAGATTCATTAAAGAACAAAACCCCTGGTCCGTATGGGTATTCTAACTTATTTTATCAACAGTTTAAGGAAGTCTTAGTATTACATCTTAAAGATTTTTTTAACAATATAGTTAAGGGAAAAGACATATCTACAGAAATCTTATATGTAAGCATTATCCCTATGCAAAAACCAGATAAACCTATGAAATTGCTGTGATTCCTTTCAAGGACATCAATGGAGTCAAAACCTTCCTTAAAATCCTGTTCTTCATACCTCCCTGATGGTTGATGTAAGCCATCGCTGATGTATTGTCTATCCTTACTTTCACCCAGTTTGGCTTTAGAAAAGGAAAATGGAGTAGGGCTTGGAATACTGCTTGTAGCTCCTTGACATTTGAAGATTGATGAAAAAGTTGATTCTTCCATAAACCTTGGACATGATGCAGATTCTGAGGTGCTCCTCAACCTGATTGACAAGCATCTGTGGTCAAGGTGACCCAAGGAATATTGCTCAGAGGAAACCCTTGCTACAACTTCTGATCAATCAGCCACCATGATAGCTCCCTTTTGATCCTTGATGTCAGTAAAATCCTTTGATTCAGGTCTTTGTAAATTGGGATAGGAATCCATTGAGCCCACCTTGTAAGGCCTATTGTAGAGGAAAAACTTCCCAGAAGGCTCATAAACTCTCTTGCCGGAATAGAGTTGTGAGAAGATGAAGAAATTTTCGACTAAATACGATGACCTCTGTCTGAGGACAGGGTAACGTGCCTTTATCGAGTCGAATCTCGTACCCAAGTACCCCATTATCTGTGATGGATACAGCTGGCTCTTCCTCAGAGACTGCAGTGCCGCACAAACTTCTGATGTGGCGGAGCATTTGGAATATGAAAATAAGCATCCCAAAGTTCTATGGAAATCAACCAGTCTTCTGGAGAGATGGTTCTGATAATGGAACTTAATGATTCAATTTTTTATTTATTTTTTTTTTTTACACACAGCTCTACGTTCAGCTCGTGAAGATCTAATATCGGTCTCCATTCCCCTGATGCCTCTTGGAGTAAGAAAAAGTCTTGGGTAAACTCCCAATCCTCTTTCTTTTATGGGAACTGGACAAATTACTCCTTCTGTTGACAGGGAAGTTATAATGGAATGAATGGCTGATGCATTTTCCGGTTCTTGTGGTATCTTTGTAGCCACAAATCGAGAGTGAGGAATGGTGGAGAATTCCAAAAAGTAACTGTTCTTTATGATCTTTAGAACCCATTTGTCATGAACTGTCGGAGCACAGACCTCTAAGAAGTTTAGAAGTCTTGTTCCCACTCCCAAGGACTAGACTAGCATCCCATCAGAATTGCTTTGATTGTCTGGCACTGCCATCTAGACCTGAAGGTTTTTTGGAGGAAGAATGCCCTCTTTTCCATGATTGGAATCTGGAAAAAACTCTACCAAGCTTGTAGCATCTGTTACTTATCCCGAAAGGAACGTCTGTCCTGTGGAAAAGATCTCTTTGGTCGTCTGTCTTGAGGAAGAAAAGCTTTACACACTTCCACTGCTCTTTTGATACATTCGTCCAGGTAACTGGCTAGTATTTCATCACAGGCCACAGGTAATGGGAAAGCAAAGGAAACCCCAGACTTATACTGCAGGTAGGTGTACCCTTATGCGGGAATTATAACCCCAATGGGTCTGGCACATCCAGCTGCTACCTATAGGGTCACTGCAGCATTTTTCCCCGGTCGCTAAGGAGAATCATCCAGGGGGTTGCCCTTGGTGAGGCACCGTGTCCTGAGGCTTCCATGGGGAGAGAGGCTGAACTCGGTACAATTAGACCTGAGTAAGCCACAAAATAAAGCAGGAGGTGAAACATACTATGTCCTTGAGAAGTGGACAGGAAAAAAGTCTGGGGGGACAGGGGAGGGAGTCTCTTTTATGAGGTGTTTCCTGTCCAGTTGAGGAGTGGGAGGAGCTATACCTATCTGTAGTGCTGCCATGTACATATCCAGGAAATAATGTATGGGGGATAAAATACAGCTCCCTGGGTATAATGTATGGGATATATATTAATATATATATTACAGCCCGCTGGGTATATACTGTGTGTATAATTTGTGCAAGATCAGTACACAGCCCCATGTATACATATAACCTAAAACATGTTGCATTAGAAACGACAACTTGTGTAAGGAAAGGAACTGTTATTCTGCATTGAATAGATATAGATTTTGTTTAAAAGAAACATACTTGAATATGTTTCCACATTTTTGGCTCACTTTGATGTAACTCAAACTAATGAAAATTTTATTTCAATCCCTAAAGGGCTGCAACAATTATTTCAAAATCGGTACAGAGAATAAAGACCAGAACTGGTTTTTTTTGTACATTTCACTGATATGGAAACGGTTAACCAAGACAGAAATAAGGTAACTGGGGACATCTTGGATATCACCCTGGAGATCATCTACCTGCTAACTGGAGAGGTGAGAGATTTTGAAAAGAGAAAATACATGTAAAAAAAAAACAAAAAAAACTGCTGTAGTACATGTCTATACGAAGTTATTTATTCAGTCTAGTAGAGCAAGATAGATGGGGAGATATCAGAGAAAACCAGCAGTAAATCGGATTCATATTTTGGAGGGAAGACCTAAAATGGTAATAAGTAACCGGGGGACAATACAGTAAAAGGTATACTGTGATAACAGCCTGTGTTTGTTTACAAACGTAGGATTACATTGTCGTGAAGAAACCTGGTGAGCCTTTACTACAAAGCATTAGACCACTTGTGTTAGAAGGATCTTGTAGGAGCCAGAGTCCTCACTCACTGAAACACGAGAAAAACAATGAGAAGATCCTGGAACTGACCAATAAGATCATCCACCTGCTGACCGGAGAGGTGAGGCTGCTGAGAATGGGACATTAAATAATTAAAAACAAAGGGATGTTTCTGGATGGTGACTTTGTTATTGTGTGTCTCAGGTTCCTAGGTATGAAGATGCCACTGTCTGTTTCTCCAAGAAGGAGTGGGGGTGTTTAGATGGACACCAGATTCAAAACAAGGATGTGTCGATGGATAATTACCAGCCTCTCCAGTCAATGGGTAAGGAAAAGTTCAATTGTTTCTGTGTTTGACTTCCATGATTGGTCAGAGAAGCTTTTGCTGGATTGTCTACTTTTTACATTGAAATTCTAGGATATTCAGCATGACTCTGAAAGGGTAATACATTGGAGCTATGTTTGAGGAGGTTAATTGCAATCTCTTTGAGTGATTTGATTTTATTATAGAATAGCAATTACTTTTCTGAAGGAGAGCTGGCTATAGTTCAAACACGTCTCATGTAATTTCACTAGGCCACTATGATAAGTTATTTACGACTGGGGACAATGAGGTCAAGTATTGGATGGGCAAAAGAGCGAAAGGTACTGTTGAGTTGTAGTATGCTGAAATTGGCTGTGCCAATGAGTCTAAATGAAGACTCGGCTGAGTCAACTATTTTACTGATAGACGAAGAAAAAAAGGATTGTAATTAAAGACAAACTCAAAGCACCATAACCAGTACAGTTCGCTGTAGTAGTTTTGGTGCCAAAAATTCTCTGGCTCCCCAGTGTATGCAGTCAAACTGTTTGTTTTTAAGAAAAGGTTTGACTTTGTACCTGATGTCTGCTGGGCTACTCTCCCTGCCTCCTCACAGCTTGGTATTGGCTCTCCTGAGCTAAACCCTGCTCTGCAGGGCCACCTCATTGGCTGAGAAGTCTTTCAGTAAAGAGAGTTTCTGGCTGTGAGAAAGCAAGGAGAGGCACTCGAATGACCCCAGGTAAGAAGTCAAACTGTTAGAAACGGACACTTCTAGACTCCTAGGTACTGCATTGTGATCTATAAATTCTAATACTTGGAGTGTTCTATTTGTTTTGGTGTGTTCATTTTTTTTTCATACTTTGTGAACATCATTGTCATAATATGGTTTAAAAGACACATAAGGGGGTAATTTTTTATTTTTATGCTTATCTTTGTCAAGCATTATTATTTTTTCTGCATAATAAATATATTCACGTTGAAATGGGAGAGATAGTGCTGTAACGGAGTCTAGTGGTGCGCAACCCTCACCTGGTGTTTATTTTATTAGTGGGATTTCCATGCCATCCTAAATGCTTTTAAAGCCCAGTATTTTCAGATGTCAGGGCGTGAAGGGGTTACAATAACATGTCTTCCTGACTTGTTTCAAAGCTGTTGTATACAGCAGACACATACTCCAAGGAATCCATGTGTAAAGTGGAAGGAAGCAAAAATGTGGTTCTTTGTTGAGCTCATTTGCCTATGCCTACCCAGAATCCCTTGCAATAGTGAGAGCACTGTTAAAGTGAGACTTCTGTGGGGAAAACACAGTCTTATGCCTTGACTGGTGTGTGTATTTGTGTTTAGCAGTGTATTAACTCTCGATTTTTATTTTATTTTTTATAGGTGACTCTGTGGACAAATATACAGATAATGGGTATCACAATGCATTTTCTGTAGAAAACTGTCTCACTGAGGGAAAGGTTAAAATGAAAACCAAAAGGAAATGTGAGCCCTTCAAGCATATGAAATCTGTTAAAGATAGAGAAGGTGAATCTGCCTTCACAGCTGAAAGTTCCTCAGACAGTGATATTAATACACAGACTGAACATTTGTCTGCTGATGTTAAGTCGGAATCGGCTTCATGTGAAGAAAGAACTCTCACAAACATTGATACAACAACAAAACAAATCAATACAGGAACGACATCTAGCCATAGAAAGGTAGAATCAACCACACCTGAAGAAGGAAATCTCAATGACCCCAATATAGATACGTCTTCTTCTCTTGTGAAGGCGGAAACCATTTCACAGGAAAAGGAAAAGCTTTTAGACACTGACATTAATACACGCACAGAACATACACAGACCGAATATTTATCTATTCATATTAAGGAGGAATCATTCTCAAGTGATGAAGGAAATCTTATACACTCCGATCAGTCAGAGATAGAATATAAAACTGTTCTTATTAAGGAGGAATCTGACTCCTATGAAGAAATAAATCTGACAGACACTGACATTTATTCACCCTCCAAACACACACAGGATGCAGATACATACGCTCAGATTTCTGAGAACTTAGATTGTAATACTCTTTGGAATTCAACTAATTCAGATAAGACTTTGCTTAATTCTGGAAAATATTGTACGGCTACCTCAAGTAGAGCTTCACAACAAAAACATCACACAGGGGAGAAACAATTTTCTTGTCCTGAATGTTTAAAGTGTTTTACAACCAACTCAAGTCTGATAGCACATCAAAGGATTCACACAGGAGAGAAAAGATTTTCTTGTTCTGAATGTGGAAAATATTTTACTGCCAAGTCAAGTCTTCGTGCACATGAAAGGATTCACACAGGAGAAAAAAGGTTCTGTTGTACAGTGTGTGGGAAACGTTTTACAGCTAGCTCATGTCTTATTGCACATAAGAGGATTCACACAGGAGAGAAACCATATGCTTGTTCTATATGTGGGAGATGTTTTACAACTAATTCAAGTCTTTTTACACATCAAAGGACACACACAGGAGAGAAACCATTTTCTTGTTCTGTATGTGGTAAATGCTTTACAACCAACTCAGGCCTTATTACACATCGCAGAAGTCATACAGGAGAGAAACCATTTTCTTGTGCTGAATGTGGAAAATGTTTTTCGAAAACCTCTAATCTCATTGCACACAAAAGGCTTCACACAGGAGAGAAACCATTTTCTTGTGCTGAATGTGGGAAATCTTTTATAAGCAAGGCCTACCTTATTATACATGAGAAGATCCACATGAGAGAAAAACCGTTTTGTTGTACAACATGTGGGAGAAGTTTCAGCCAGAAGTCAGCTCTTTATAGACATCAGAGGATCCATGCAAATGATAATTATCTTCCTCACAGTGAAAAAACTACTTAAGAGATTAGAATTTTACAGATTCCATTTCACCCACTTGCAAAAAGAAAAAAAATGTCAGACAAAAATGTTTCTAGACAAGTTAATGAATGTGCATGCTTCCATTTTGCACTTTTATGTACCAAAATAAATTGAGAAACCTGTTATCCCTTTATTTGTTGGATATTTACAGAATGTGGAGATGTAGATGAATGCATATTGGATATTTGTCTGGTATCATTGATTCTGTATATGAAATCCTAGGCAGTGCATTAGCTAAAAAAAAAGTGAAATTATTAAATTGTCTAAAAACGTACATGTTTGCATTTTATCAAACTACCTCTTTAAAACTTGTCCACAATTACAACCCTTTACAGATCTGTACAGGTAGAGAAATCCATATTGGAGTGCATTATCTTTTATCCTGTTTAAAAATAAAATGCAAGGAAATGTGTGTGTCATAGAAACGTAAACTTTTCAAATACATCCTTATTTTGTTAAAAAAAAAAAAAATGGAGCTAAGGCGCATATAAAGTTCCTGGGCTGTCTGTTTTTCAGACGTGTACACTTTTGTGTGAGGTGAGAATGGATTTTCAATTACTGTTACAGTTGTAGTCCTCATACACCAAATTACAAAAAGCATACGTTATTGAAACATTCTATTTTCATATTTGTCTTTTAATTACAAAAAGTGTGGAACAAATTCATCTAAGAAGTATTGATGGCAACTAAATATTTATTTTGTAGTAGTTTTTTTAAGTTGTATTGTTTGCAGATGATAATAGGAACACTGCAAAATTGTTATTCTTTCATTTATTTAAGTAAATTATGTACACCTAATCATGTTCTGAGTAATTCACTAAAGGCCGAATGGCCCTGAACTGAATTGGAAGAAAAACATCCAGTTGCAGATGTAGCCATTTGGACTGCAAATTCAGGACATTGTTGATGGAATTCAACACTGAAAAATGCCAGACATTTGAAATCCGGACCCAGAGAATGAGAGCATTTCACAGTCAAGTTTCACTTCTTTCAGTCCTTGGCTATCACAGTGTGTGCTGATTGATTGGATAAATAGCCAACCAATCAGAGCACTCTTTGTCATATTTCAAAGCTGTCAATCTGGGCCGAGCCCTCAGTTGGTGAAGATGGGTTATTTTTTGTTGCGGCATGGTTTTTATTTTTTCTGATAGGTGTTTTTTGCGATCAGGCGTTTAAAAAAAATAAAGGTTACTTATACTTTTGATGTGATGAAATATATATATATATATATTTTTTTTTTTTACTTGAAGAAACATAACAGCGTAGCTTGCAATGACCCAACAGCACATGCACGTATTAAAATAGAGCATAACATTGGACTACATTGTGAAAATACTGCACATTTTTGCGTTACATCCAAGGCTAATAAGTGGATTGTACAGTTTACAAGATGGACAGTATTTAAGACGAGGAGCAAGGCATGTAACAGAATCAGATTAAACATACAACATGCAACATATTTTGTTAGGATACAAGCTTAAAGGCACTATAGGGTTATTAGGTCCCCCCCTCCCTCGGAGCCTTCAGCTCCGAGCACCCTTCAGCTACTTACCTTAATCCAACACTGGGCTCCCTCAGCGCTGGTGACCTATCCTTCCCCCTGCTGACCCGAACGAGCGGCGCATTCAAACCGCCCAAAGGAAAGCATTACTCAATGCTTTCCTATGGATGTCCAGCGTGGGTTCAATGCGATTTTCATGCTGATTGAGCTGAAGTGGTCTGGGTGCCCATAGTGGTCCTTTAAATGTGACATTCCTTGTTCTCATGATTAATTAAAAAACAAAACATTTCAGCAGTCGGCACTCACAGAACAAGACTTTGCCTGTTGTAGCTGTGTTGCTTTCCAGGAGTGGACCGGGATCACCCCAACCGGTTCGAGAGGGTGGGTGGTTAGTTTGTAAGGTTAGTGCACCAGCACCGCCGTTCCTCAACACCCGCAGGCGGCCGTGGACCATGCGCTCCCAGTATTGAAAATGCCCGTGGAAGGTGTCAAGATGATGAAGTGTACAACCCACATTCAAGCATTAGTCTCAACTCGATATTTGTGCTTATTCCCGGGAAATCAACTTCATATTTAGCATGCGTCCGTTCAGTTTGCAGGTCAGGCTTTTTTTAAATTTTGTTTAGTGGCATCGATTAGCATGGATTCTTTTTTTTTTTTTCTGCCTTTTGGCGGCTGAAGAACTAGAAGAAAGATCTGATTGATTCTGAGGTCAGGGTGTGGGGATAAAACAGTAACAAGTCGATCGCGGAGTGATGAGACTGGGCTGGAGCATATCTGTTAATTACGGAGGAAATGTAAGCAGGAGCATGGTTATGGAGAGCTTTGTAAGTAAGCTCAAGAATTTCAAACTGAATCCAAAATGAAACCGGAAACCAGTGTACAGAGTTATTGTGGTGAGGTGTGAGAATTCTTGGATGTAAGGTAGGCCTTACATCTTGCTTATCGACCTGAAAGGTTCCCAGGTTCAAAATAGAGGGCTACAATAATCAAAAGCTTAATGTATGTGAGGTAAATATAATGCCCTTTGGGTATCATTCATAACATTAAACCACATGTGTAGCGGAGCGCTTATTCCACAGAGACTATCTCCGCTAGTGATCCAAGAGTAGCTCAGGAACAAGTGGTTAAACCAGGAGAAACAGCATCAGTAGTAAATAAAATATTCCCAGAATATCCCATCACCGTTCCCAATAACTGGACGACACACAGTATCAGGAGCAGAACTGATCTTTAATCCCACATACCCTGCTTTTATGCATCTCACCCAGGCAAGGGAGACACCCACAGAAAATTATACAGTAACCAATCATATACAGGTTACAACCCACACATCTCCTCCCCTCAGCCTGACAGATAATCCAATTATTCAGCACACACTTTTTCCCGTTTTCTAGATGTACCCCAAATACATAAGATACACCCTAAATCCTACATCCCTTGATAGGTCTAATCTTGATGAGCAACATACTAAAAAATCACCCAGATCGGATCAGGGGTTCGGGAATTACACGGAGATGTTCGTTTGACCTACCGCACACGAGGCAGTAGCCGAAAACAGTTCCATGCATTTTGGCCTTGCAGCTAGTCTCTGTTCATGGAGTAAAAGTTGCGAAAATACTGAATAGAATGGGCTGTGCTTGTATTCGTATGAATCCCCTTGTTCGTTTGATTCTTTTTACCGAACGTCGGGCCATTCATGTGTTTCCTCGCACAGAGATGGAAGTGTGGAGGTCTAAGTGGTGTTCGCGTGGTCGAGTGTCCGATTTGGGTTCCAGACACTTGACGACCAAACACCACTGGGCGTTCGTATGGCAAGATGGCCGCTGCCACATGTTCATATGCCTAACGGCGGCCACCCAGGGAATACACAGTGCGTTCGTATCTTTTTCAATTAGATGGCAATAAAGACGGCTGGGGAGGTAAATTGGGTTCATACTTCTCTCAGGGGTGGTCTGGTACTTCGGTAGTTTGTTCGTATGTCGAACGGGGTGATTCACTTTAGTCTCCATGGCTTTTTACCGAACAACCAGACGAATGCTTAGTCACAATTTGCTTGCACACAATAAAAACTAAAGAAAATACTGTTGCTAAATGAAAATGTGATGGACAGCCAGATGGTATCCGCTACAACATGTTTAATATCATGCTGCCAAAACAGTTCTGATGTGTCAATGCATGGAGTCGTCAAAACCTCTGAATGTGTCCTGTGGTATCTGGCTCCTGCATGTTATGAGTTGCGGCCTCCACGGATTGGATTTGCTGTTCCGGCATGTGACGGACCGCCTGGTACCCTGGCTGGCTACCTCCGTCAATCTTGCGTTCTAGCTGTAAATAGGATACACACCAGCCCCAAAGTCACTGCAGTTTGATTGGGGTCTATCTAGATTTTTCCCTCCTTAGAGCAGGATATAGGGCTATAGCTGTCTCACCCAAACACTAGCAGATACTAAAGGAAGGGTGATTAGGAACTGACTGTATTGAACACAACAAAGTTTTATAGGCACATTCCCCACAAGAGGTCATAAGTTAAAACAATGTAAGTCCCTGCCTAGAGTCCTGGTGTCCAGAACATAAATAATGGTGACCTAAACTAATTAATTACCTGCTGGACACGTTGCACAATAACACAACGTCCATTCTGTTCTACATTAGTATAAATGCATTCCTGTGTTTACAAGGCAGGGTGGGGATGGACAATAACAATGGTTGAGGACCACATGGGGGATTTAAGGGCATGGCAGAACAGTCAGTGTGAACTAGCCTGGAAGTGTCTCTGGGACAGTGGGACAACACCCTTCTGGGAAAACAACAAGGAAAATGGTGAGAAAAACACAGCCTGTGCCTATAATGGGCACATGGTGACTACAACATAATAGCAATCTGGGGACCTACATAAAGTGTCTGTCTTCAGCTCCCGGTGGTGGTAACTTCTGTCACACAGCACAACCAACAGATGCTCATTGGGATTGAGATCTGGGTAATTAGGAGGCCAAGGCAACACTTTCAACTCTGTGTCATGTTTCTCAAACCACTCCTGAACAATTTTTGCAGTGTAGCAGAGTGAATTATCCTGCTGAAAAAGACCACTGCCATTAGGGAACACCATTGCCATGAAGGGGTGTAAGTGGTCCACAAGAATTGCTAGGTAGATGGTACATGTCAAAGTAACATCCACATGAATGCCAGGACCCTAGGTTTCCCAGCAGAACATTGCCCAGAGCATAACACTACATCCACCTGCCTTCCTTATGCTTATAGTGCATTATATTGCCATTTTTTTCCAAGATAAACAATGGACATGCACCCAGCTATCCAACTGATCTAAAAGAAACCTTGATTCACCAGGCAACCTTCTTCCATTGCTCCACAGTCCAGTTCTGTAGCTTACGTCCCCATTTAAGGTGCTTCCGGTGGTGGACAGGGGTCAGCATGGATACTCTGACCTGTCTGCGGCTACGCAGCCCAATATGCAGCAAACTGCGATGCATTCTCTTCTGATATCTTTCATGGCCAGCATTAAGTTTTTCATCAATTTTAGTTACAGTAATTCTGTGCGATCGGACAAGACAGGGCAGACTTTGCTCCCTACATTAACCAATGAGCCTTGGGCCCCCATGACCCCGATGCCAGTACAGTTCAGTGGATGCAGTGTGACTGTTTATTGGATGCAGTGTGTGTATATATGTGTTAGGTAGGGATAGGGTCTACATACTGTGGGCAAAGGCTTGTTGGTTTTTTTGCCAGCAGCATGTAGAGTTAATAGGGGCCCAAGAAGTGCGCTCTTCAGATTCAGGCAGCTCGTCTCTCCAACTCTTGCGATCCCAGCATATGTGCTTTGTGGTCCATTGCCATGATAATCTATGGCAATGCTTTGATGGCCAGGGGCTTGCGAGAGTTGGCAGCCCTAAGTGTTAATATGTGGCTTGCGCCCAATCCATGTAGTTACTTTAGATATATTTTTGTTATTTTTGAAAATTGTAATAGGTACCACAAATTCTCACTAATTAAAGATTTCACTAGCAAGATGTTTCATAACAAATGTGTTTTTTAAAAAGAAATTTATAGCCTCCTCCTCTCCGCCTGGAGCGGGGCGGAGGACGCTGATGTGCTCGCGCTCAACTCAAGGGATCGAGATGGGGAGGTCATGAGAAACACTGAACCCAGAGTAGGTACTTTGACCC